TCTCTCTCTCTCTCTCTCTCTCTCTCTCTCTCTCTCTCTCTCTCTCTTCTTTTGTTGTGTGTCTTGCTGCTAAGCACACGGTGGTCCATGTCAGTTAAACAGTTAAGATCAAGCAATGCCAACCATTCACAAGCCAAGTGCATTGTGTATTTTTCGTACGTCTACACTACGTATATCTTTGTTTTTAGCAATTATTTGGCTCATTTATGACATTCAATTCTAAAATTCGACTGAACACGATAAACTTAATTGTCATCACATTTCAGCATAAAATTCTATTTTGTATCACAAAATTAGATATGTGAAAGATTAAAAAAAAGAAAAAAAAAACCAATGTCATGTTCATGCCAGTTCGAACAAATACACGATGCCAAAGTATAGACCATGATTTTCAATATCAATTTACTATAAGCGCGACTTATCCCCATATATATATATATATAGATATTTTGGATGTGCGTTTGTTCTCATTTCATTCGCGTAAGTGGAAACCATTTATAGATTGAAGCAGAAATCTATTAAAATTTACATAGAATTAATGTAAATCAGAATATTTTTTTTTTCTTCGGCATTTTTTGTCATCCAACAATCACATTGTTGTTTAGAACTACATGCATTTTGACTGCTTGAAACGTATGCATCCCTCGTTCATTTTGATCACAGTCACCCTTTTTATTGCTATCGACGACGAGGAAATGAAGGGGGCAACGATGAGCAAACACATTTATTCATATTTCGTTATTATCGCTATTTCGTTTATCTAGCTGTTATCATAATTTTACTGAACAAATGTGCTCTTTCACTCAATCGCCCTCAACGACAGCAAAAACGCTCACAAAACAAAACCGCTTGTTCAAATAACGAATTTTAAGCGAAGAAAAATGAATGGAGCAAACAGACAAAAAAACGAATCCGAATTACTTTTGAACAAAACAATATAGGGAACACATACACATATACACCAAAATCCATGAGATGTATACAATAAATGCATATTATGTCGTTTAAATAAATGGAAATTGTGTTGTAGAGCATTTGATGTTTGTCATTTACTCAATTCATGTTATTTTTTTTTGTTTCATTTTCATATATACTTTTTTCTATTTTACTGTCATAAATGCGGCGGTGGTTTGTTGCGCGAACGCTTTGAATACATTTTTCGCATCTATATTTTCTTTTTTATTTGATCTGTGAATCCAAAATGCAAGAAATTTGTCCTAATTTGCCATTTCGACGACATTTTGCGAGTACGCGCGCTGAGCTGATTTCTAAACAAGCGAAACTATTATTCCGTGTTTAAATGTATAAAATCTCTATCTTTATCTTTTTCTATGGATTAAGATATGTTTCTGCTCGTTTTTTTTATTTCGATTGCAGTGGAGAGCAAGACTTTAACGAAATTCGTTCAGTAATTCAGTACTTTATTAATATAGCGAAATTTTGACCACATGCTTACATATTTCAGTTGATAATCAAGATTCGTTCAAGTGAAGAGGAAATATCCAATAATATAACTTTTTTGTCCATCAAGTCCATATCCAATTCAATTACATTATAATTAAATGGGTTTGAAAGATGGACCTCGTGCAAAATACCATTTGGCAAGAACCTTAGATGACCACATTTTTCAGGCAAAGTTAGGGTGGTCTTTATACTTCTTGAGTTCGGTCCATTTCATTTAGTACATGAAAACATACAATATTATAACATAGAAAATTGAGATCGCAATTTTTCATTCAAAAATAATGAATGCACACAATTTTTCCATCATAGAAGCAGCGTAAAGAAAAGCAATGTAAATGAAAAAACGGTAAACATTCAACTCATTTCTTCTTCTGTTCATTTTTTGTCGTTTTAGTCATGCAACAAACGAATTCCATTGTCGATATGTGTTGAGAGTTAACCGTATCTATATTAGTTTGGTGATATTATCCCACTATCTCTTTCTTTCAAAAATTGTGCATTCATTGAGATCTACTTATGCATTGCACAGTTGCAAAAAAAAAATTGACACAATTGACTTCGAAAATGATAATGTTTCCGAAATCTTCTATTGGACTACATACCGATCCATAAAATCTAAATGTTTGCTTGATATTCGCAAAGTATTTTTTAAATTTGAACTGATGAACACAAAAAATGTGTGTGTTTGTGTAGTTCCACTGTACGTTGTTCACCATATTAATTTTATGTGTACAACTTTTAGCTGGCACAATGCATTTGAGATAATCTATAAGAAACAAACGGAATTACCACTATAACGCACAAATACAATTTTGTCTTTCTCTTGAAAATGATATTTCAGTTTGTGAAAATGTCATTTAAATAAACGAAATGAGACCATCGTATTGTGGTTTGAACAAAGAATGTATGTGTAATGGGTTTTTGTCGTATATCGTACAAAGGAAGTAAATTGAAAACATTTCTGTTTAACATAAAAAAAGGACAAATTTTTTGGGGAAAAAAAGTCCAGCAAAAAGGGAAAAAACAACAACAAGTTGGTAAGCGCCATCAAATAGTTGGAAAAACCAAAATGAAAATAGATTTATCATTGGAAAATAAACAATTCAAGCGATAATAAAACAAAATGCTCACAAAAAAAGCATTACATGTGATTTTATGTGAAAAAACAACACAAAAGCAAGGTAGCGAGAAATAAAAAAAAAAAACGATGTGAGTTAAATAAAGAGAGAAAAGAGACGAAAAAAGAATTGAGTCTTAAATAAATAATAATCAAAGGAGATAAACAGCAGCAGCGAAAAGGAGTGCACACATGTAGAAGAAGTCATAAAATAATATGAAGCGATTCGGCAATAGAGTGGCGAATGTTTATTTTTTACCTGTTCGAGACAGGATGATGTATTTATTTGGTCGATTTCGGTTGCTCTCTTCAGCTTCTTCTTTTTCTTGAATTTATCTTTCCAGCGGCTGAAATAGGAAGCAGCAACGGCAGCAAACAAAGTTCAAGAAGGGAAAAGAGAAAGAGAGCGAGAGAAACAAAAAAAATGATAAAAAGAGACCGAATGAAAATGAGCATACGTATTGTAATAAATGACACAAACGAGCAATTGAAACGCCAGCCCGCAAAATATTTACCCAACACTAAGGAATATTTTCATTACCTTCTTAATGCGGATGTGTGTGTATGTGTGGATTGGTTGAAAATAGACAAACAAACCACTCAATTGCAATCCGGAGATGGAGTGTGTCTTGAGTGATGACTCAGTCTTGTGTTTTTCTCTTCTTTTATTTCTTTGCATCGGTGAGATTGTTTGAACAATCCGCTGTGATGTTTCAATATATTCCGTTTGATTTTGCTGCTGTTTTATACATCCGTAGCCAAACACTTGAACATTACCGTTATCGGCTTGCGTGTAAATATTTACAAAATGAAAGAAGAAAAAAACGTTTGACAAGCAACTCGACAAAATATTTATTTGACATGCATTTAGCATTTAAACAAAAAAAAACTGCATCTGCATCCGTGTGCTCATCACAATCAAATCTCTGTATGTATTATTCAACAAATGTTCGAGTCAGTTTTACGTCAAGTTAGTTATTTCATAGTTAGACGATGAGTCATTCAATCAAATCGTCCGGGTAGGTCATAGCGCCACCAAACCAAATGACCAGCCATTCAATGCAGGTGGACATACTAAAAATATATAAATGTGAATTGGTTCCTGTGAATTTTTACTCGGCATGAAAATTCCAACAAACTCATTAAAAAAATATGTTGGAAGATACACATTACACACACACATGAAGAAAAAGTCCCAAATTGTCGGTTTTTTTGACGAAAGAACCAAACCTACAAGATGCATGAGGGAAAAGGTTGTGCGAGTGTGTTCATGCTGAGACGACGGGCTCTTACATGTGTACACAAAATAGTTAAGAGATATAAAAAACAAAAAAATTGCCCTCTCATTGAACAAATAAAAGGATGTGTCACCACGATAAATGAGCAGTAGACGGTGATTTGAAAAAAAGAAGTGAAAAAAATTCTCAGATTAAAGCGCTGTGACAATCTATATGTAGGAGATAGACAACCAAAGTCTATTTGTATAAAAATTTTGTAGATACTATTTTTGTGGATTATAAAAATTCGCAATGAATCACACAGCACACAGTTCGATTTGTCACTCTTTGAAATCAGTTTATGAACAGAAAATAAGTAATGTCGTTTTTTTTTCTTCTTTCACTTGAAAACGCCAACCAAACCAAACCAATTGAATAACAAACCGACTCCGATTTATAGGAATTCTCATCTCTTGAATATGTTGTACATATTTTCGTTTTGCCATTAATTCATTCGGAAATTCTTAACATAAACACAAACACATATGCTCGGTCGCATAGAAACGGAAAATATCATTGTTGAAACGTGCTTGAAACACGCCAACTGCATACAAAACGAAAATCGAGACATCAAGCGAAATTCCAAAAAAAAGAACTTAATTCCTTGACGTTTTAACATTTTTCGTCTCTATTTTCCGTTCGTCTCTCTCTCTATGGCGCAAATGTATACACCACACCGGAGAGAATTTTGTACAATTCTCAATCATTTGCAACATTGTTCGAATTCCTCGCGATCTTCCATATTTCTTAGCAAACAATTGAAGTTTAATCTCGCACTCTCTTTCTCTATATCTATTTCACTTTCTCGCTTTCCATAATCGATCGTCTCTTTTTCTCTTTTGTTGAATCTCAACGCATTGGCTCTGGCTAGTTGAAGCATAAAAATGTGGATGCTTTACGGTAATGGAATGAAAATTAATAAAATAAGAAATGCTGGTGGTGACAATAACATAACTAACCAACCGTTGCACATTCCACAAAAGTGTAATGGATACGAATGCGTAGACAAAATAAATGTTCTCTCATTTCTTTTTTTTTTTCGTTTGTTTATGTTGCATTATTGCCGTTGGTTTCTTCTTCTTTTTCTTTTTTTTTTTTCTAAAAAGAAATATGCTTTGCCTTCCATTTTCCACAGAATTATATAAGTGTTTCGCTGTTGCTGCTGCAGTGGCTGCCCCCTTTTTTTCCTTTCGTTGCACAATTTCTTTTTCACGCAATTCCACCAATGAAAATTATTCTCTCTTGTATACTGTTCGCAAGTTGATCACAAATGATTCGCAGAATTTTCACTCATATATTTCTCTTTGATTTGCAAATGAAGTTCAGATCGTTTCGACCAATTGTTTTCTGCACAAATACACATTTTTTTTTCTCTCTTCTCTCCTCTCTTTTTATTATTTTTGTTATCGTTTGCATTCGATTTGCAACGATGCACTCACGGAACATTGCACGTTAGTATGCGAAACAAATGAATGGGGTAGAATAAAAACTACTTCTCGAAAAATTGCTATTTTAAAACGAAACCTAAAAAAAATTTCAATAAAAAGTGAATCAATTTTTTTTGTCCAATTGAAGTGAATCAAGAAAATTTTGTTCAATAAAAGTGAACCAAAAAACAAATGTCACTCGGTTTTTTCAGTGTAAAATACACTAAAATGAATTTTTTTTTTGGGTTCACTTTTATTGAACAAATTTTTTTTGGTTCACTTCAATTGGACGAAAAAAAATTGATTCACTTTTCATTGAAAGTTTTTTTTTAGGTTTCGTGTTTAAACATTTTTCGAGAAGTAGTTTTTATTCTACCCCATTCAAATGCACCAGTAATTACCAGACGAATTAAGCGGAACGCTTGCGTGTACACTATTTTCTACTGAAAACAAGATTACGCGACCATTTAACCAGTTCTCACACAACGAGCAACAAAACGAGATGAAACAGAACGTCATACAATAACAAACAAACAAAAAAATGCAGCAATTTCACAATTGGATGAAAAGCGGCTTGGGGGAAGAATGAGTTCTTCTTCATTGTCCGTTAACGTCAACATTGTCCGAGAACCGATTTTGCAGCAGATTTTTATTACCATTGTTAATGGATTGATCGTGCCAAATTCGAGAAAAAATTCAAATGACCGTTGAATTCTTTAGTTGTTTTGGTAGCAACGTGCCCAACATGAGCAAATCACAACATCATGATGGACAGACATTTAAGATCACAAAGCATACACCAGAACATAGACGCTTTCGCGCACTATTTTTCGCTATTCAATAAATGTTCTTTCACTTTAAAAATGACATCTTCTCTCTCTCTCTCTCTCTCTCTCTCGCTCTTTCTGTCTCACTAATCAAACAATAGTATCACCGCTTTGTGTGCGGAGACTAAAAATACAAAACTTTTGTCATTATCACGGAAAATCCCACCGAAGAAAAAATTCGGCATGATGATTTTCTCATAATTTAACGTTCAATGAAAAAAAAAAACATTTGAATTTTATGTGACACACACAAAAATTCCATATAAAATCGAATCAGACATAAAATGCGAAGAGATAAAAAACAGAAAGAGATAGGTAGCGGCAAAAGAATGCGGATCTTTCTTAAAATATAATAAATTTATGTATGTGTGTGTGCGTACAACATTCAAGATTCAAAAATAGCGCCGTGTATTATCGAACCACAAAAAAGATGAAAATGACTAAAGTATTTCAAGTACGCAACAATAACAAAAAAAAAAATAGCATATGCGGCTTTGTGTGAACGTCAAACCAACTTAATTAAGGTCGGCTGATTTTTGTTTATGGATTTCAACTTGAACATTTCGATTAATTTTTCAAGACGATGTGCTGTGCACATTCAACAGAGAAAAAAGTTCGCTTTCAGCATCGCACCACATCCATTGCCCCATTGCAATGTGCATTTTTGCAAATTATGCGCAAATATTTCTGTACATATAATTGAATGTTACAAAGTCAGTTGAGCACTTCAAAATGTTCGTGAAATCGGTAAGGTTTTGTTTGTGTCAAGCAGCAGCAGCATATAAGTTATTATCGTATTCGATTACATATATAAACGAACATTGATGACCTGCACCATCATCATTATGTGCATACACAATAATTTCAAATCAAATACTTTGCTTTGCTCTTTATCTCAACAATTCGTCCGCCCTCTTGCATTCGAGATCAGATGAATCGAGTAATTATTGGAATCACACTTACATTAATTCATCTCATTTCAGCTCAGTGCTCTCTACTATTCGACATTCGATATGCTCAATTATCACAAAACAACAATAATAATAAAATAAGAACAACACTGAATCAAGTGAAGAAACCAAAAAAAAAAAAAACGGCAACGAAACAGCAACGTGAATGTGCATCGTTCTGCACAAAATTTCTCATGGAATTTATGGTGACTTTTTTTTCATCACATTTCTTGTTTGATGTTTGAATGACAAATAGTTGTCCAACACGACATGTGTATTGACTTTGTGCGTTATGCGCTGCTTTTTTTTCCTCCACTTTGCTGCAGCAGCTGTTACTGTTTCCATTGCAAACGATCGCCGCCACACTAATACAGTTTAAATAATTTTGAAGTGACTCGATCAATTTAGAAATACTGTATACACGATTGATCACGTTAAAGTGAACGACGTTTATCTAATATAAATTGAACAGCATATTTGCTGGCAATATACCTAGAACAGGCCCGATCGAGCGATGAAAGGAAAATCAATTTGTTTTTGTGTAATAATTTTTTTTTTTTGCATACAATATATCGATAAATCAATCAATTACAACGAAACTAAATTACAGCCGTGTGTATGTGAGAGAGTTTCTTGCACGCGCTACATTCTATTTGCACTTTGTTTTGCATCGCATCGCATCGCTTGAACTGAAACCATGTTGATAGAAAATTAACTGAGACATTTATTAATATATGTGTTGATATAATGTTTATTTATTTTTTGTCTGTTTTTTTTTTCACAGTGGGACGAAGGGAGCCGTGCTCGAATGAAGGCGAAGAAGTGGCAGTCGATTCAATCAAAGATATGAAATGCTTCAAATGTATTTGTCAGGTAAGTCATCTAAATGTTTGAATTTTATACTTATAGTGTACGTTTTTTTTTAAATTCATTTTACAGTGGAAAAACACCAGTGTGTCCATAACATATAGAAATAGCACTAAATAGTGTCGATATCTATACTATATCGGTGCACTATATATGGAAGATATTTCTGCAAGACACCGTAACTCACAATCGAAGTGAGTGCGGACGGCAAAAATGTTGACGCATACACACAGTTCTTTCTACTGCCGCACGGAAACTTGTGATTTTTCCCGTCTACACTCACTTCGATCGTGCGATACGGTGGCGTGCGGCAATATCTTCCATATATAGTGGACCAATATAGTATAGATATCGACACTATTTAGTGCTATTTCTATATATTATGGACACACTGAAAAACACTAAAAAATAGAAAAAAAAGTCAATGTCCATTCACACTTTTCACCGCCTCACATTCAGAGTCTTTATTAAAGACAGTATAATTTTTAAAGGAATTTCACTGGTACCGAAAAAGAAAGAAGAAATCATTTCAACGGCAATAGATCAGGCCTGTCGCCTTAAAAAATGTAAAGATAGAAGGTTCTATCTCTCAGCTGTAGTCTTTTTTTTTGCCTAATTGAATACGAGATTTAAACGAATAGATAAAATATTTAGCGCTTAATGAACATGTTATGCATTTTGGCACTTGGCAATTTATTGTCGGTGTTTTTTACTCTCTCTCTTTCTTTCTCTTGTCTCTCTCTTTCTTTCTCTTGTATGAAATGAGCGCAAGTCGAAAGAAGGAAAGTGACAGCGGGGTTGAGCTATAGAGGTAGACACCGATTTTTTTACGGTTGCCATATAACCATCGGTTTTTTGAGTCTGAATCAATGTTCCGTCGAAATACCTGCTGTGCTCAACAAAACAATCTACAATGTGGCGCATGTAACAATGTTAATTTTTTTGTTTTGTTTTCAATATTCGCCTCTCACTCTGTCCAAGTTTTGCAGGCAGTAATTGTATTCTACAAGCAGCTTAAAATTAAATGGATTCCAGGTCTTGGGTCTCCAAGTGTTTATTGATCTCGGTGTGTGTGTGTTCTCTATTTCTAATGTTTTTCCGTTGTTTGTTAAACGAAAGCGACCAGAGTGAAAGGGCAAACATAAAGATAGATACGTAGATAGAAATGGAGCAACAGAGAATGCAGAATATAAATGCAATAAGATAGAAAAAAGGATAATAAATGTCTAATAACTTGCTACGAACAAAGAGAGCCCCGTTGCCATTTTTATGGTAATTTATGATAGGGCAATCGTTTTACGGATTTTTCCCTTCTCAAATTCTTTCTTTCTTCTTTTTTTTTTAATTCCGAAACTTACATTGAACGTGATTTGTTTCCTTCTTATATTATTAACTTTATCCAAGAAAGAGAGAGGAAAATAAGTGAAGAAAATATGAAGACGATACGTAGGTGTCTATTGTTTTTGATGTCTTATTTCGGCTGATTGTCTCCGTTATTATCTCTGTGTGTATGTGTTTTGCCATTCGGAGTCGGAGTGTATCATCCATTGATAAACTTGTACCTTCAATTCACTTTTTTTTGAGAAGTCAGTGGAATTGATATTAGTGCAGCATGCACTTGTGTGTGCGGTATACAACAACCGACCTGAACGACACATCGAAAGCGACAGATAGAGATGACATGCTCAATGCATAACAAAACATACCAATTTAGTCCTTCAACAAACCTTTTGTGTACATGTGTGTGTTCCGATTTATGAAGCGTATCGCCCAGCCCAAAGTCAGAGAATTCATTAAACTTCTTTAACAAATTTTGTAAATATTTCCATTCGATTGTTGTTTTTGTTACTTTTTTTTTGTTGCATATTCTCTCAGGAGCAGTGATTATGTTTTTCTATTTTTTCTCTCTGTTTTTTTGTTTGAAACTCTTTGCGATATTTTCGACTGGCGCCAGCTCTTATTGTTTTATGCCGATATGATTTTCTTTTTTTCAGCTGGGCATTTTCTTTTCTCATTATATCTCTCATTCTCTCGGTGTTTGCTATTTCCGAAAACGCGATGATTCATAGATGCATTTTCACTATCGCCATAGACTGCAACCGACTACAAAGAGATACAGTCAATGGCTTTTAATAATAATTTTCGGAAAATTGTTGGTATGTTTGTGTGTTCCGCACAACGGAAATTCCATTTGCATTCGATTGACTTCCCTTTGATCAATATAATGAAAAATGATGGTCCTGTCGCTCATCAGTAAATGCTTGTTCAGTCAATGCAGAGAGTATCATTGCCTCATTTGATAATGATTATCCATCAATGCAAAAACAAACAACGGTAATTTCAAATGACTTGTCAACAATTTTCTAATTTCGTCATTTGCATTTATCAATCATCAATTACCATTTCATTGCAATTCATGTGTTCGATACGATGAATGTAAATAAAAGCGATTCGAGATTGATTTTAATAGCCGACACACTGAGATTTATGGCTTGTGATGCATCTCCCTCTCTCTCTCTCTCTCTCTCTCTCTCTCTCTCTCTCTCTCTCTCTCTATGTAGGTATTTATTTTAGCGCAAATGTAATCAAAGTATCAAATGACAAAAATCCGATCGAAATCCGTTAATCGAGCGACATCAACGGCATCGAGTAACGATGAATAAAATATAAAATACACACACCTGTGCGATAATGTGGCCAAATCTCTGTGCCGTCGCTGTCATTTTCTCTGGTCTCGCAAAATCATTGAATTTACATAAATATGCAAATTACGAATTGATTCCGTCTTTGTATCCGATGTTGACTGATCATCGCAATCGTTCAATTGTGCTCTTAATCTCGCTTTGATACAGATGTATGTATTGGTGGCGAAATGAATGGAAACTAATTGGCTGGGACGATTTTCAAAGCTCCAAACCGAATACGTTCGGGTCTAGTTTGAAGCGTTTTTTTTTTCGTGTGTGTTGCTGCTCTTGTACGAGTGGCGTTAGACAAGTCACAGCCAAAAGCCACACACATGCATAGCGGCGTCTTTTGCTACAATTTTTTTTTTCTCTCCCGCCTATCACAGTGCGCTCGAGCTTCGTTCATTTGCTCAGTCGCCGTATGAATTTTTTTTCTTTCGATTTGATATGACGATGTGATAATAATTACATGTAATGATTAAATTGACGCGCAAGTCGTGGCATTTTTGATTTGATCGTCGAATGTGTTTGAGTTATTTGCGTTTGGTTGCGCTATTTTTGTTGTTGTTTCTTTGAACGTTTGATTCATTCATTCATTCATTCGTTCACATTCACTCTATGGCACGGTCTGTGTATGTGTCATTTTGGTGTGTTTTGCCATTGTTCATATATGGTTCAGTGTTTTGTTTTGTCGAATCGCAATTTGCCGCCACAATGTTTGGAGTTGTTTAAGTGGCGCCAACATGCTAAAAATCATTACATTCATATTCATCACATTTCTAAGCGACGTGTGTGTTTTTTTTTCTCTTCTCATTCCTCACATCAATCAATCGCTGCTGTTGATGTTGATTCTATTGCTCTTTCTTTTGCTCATCGATATTTTGCATGATGCCGTTTATTTTTCGTTGTTGTTTTTGTTCACATTGATCATTAAAAGAGTTGCGTGTATCTAAGTCGATAGCGTATTTTGTGCACAAAATGAACAAATTAAGACGAGTGCAGTTTTTCCATTGCCACTTTACAGTGTCATATATGTATATATGTGTGTATGATTGAATAGGCTCGGTGCAAGTGACCGTTTTTCCGTGCCGGTGATCTCAATTTCGAAAATTGAAATTGTCATTACTCTATCTCGTTACTGTGTGTACTGTTCGTGTGCAAGGTTCTTGGAAATGTGAGATCGCGTCACCCGGAAAACGATTCGTTCTCTTTCGATCGTTCCAATGTTAAGCAACAACGACAGTGACAACAGCAACAACAACGGCGACGACGACGATGACAGCGGTGGCGGCAAAAACAACAGTAACACCGGCACGAACGGTGTTTTTAGCTGTGTGGCATTTCGAAGGTACGATTGGAATTTTCCATAACAAGCTGACGCGTCTTACTAAATTAAGTTTGAAATTAAATAACAGCACAAAAAAAATTTATATATTAACCGCAAATGCACTGGCGACCGAGTATATATGTGTGTGGTGCATGAAATGCCTTTGTTGATTATTGTTAGTGATCGTGTGCCGATCTCTTTTCTCTCTATCTTTTTTTCATTTTGATTTGCTCGTGATTGAAAAATGCAAAATCAAATTGGAATATGAAATGGTAACGGCTGAAAATGAATTACATTTAAAATAAAAAGGAAAACAAGCAACAAACCAAATGGCAACAACACCAGCGCTGCGACAAGAAGAGACAGAGAAACAGATCACTTATGAAACTGTCATTTACGCAAAATTTTAATAGCGAGACTAGCTGTAATGGACAGTGCCCATATTCATTGTGTATATGCATTTTTTTTTAAACGTATCATGCAATTTTTATGCACGCTATATTACTCTCTTTTTCTCGATCTAATTCTGGGAGATTCATTCGTTGTTGTTTTTTTTCTTTCTCAAATTATATCGTTGGGCACTGTGCACCAACCATATGATCGTATTTGTTGTGTATACTTGAAAAAGTGCAAAAATGATTTTAATTCATTCATAGTGAACTATTGAGTAAGAGCCACTGTAAAACAACAAATAAAATGATTATTTTATAGAAAAGCCGGAATGTAACAGCTGCATCACGGCGGCGGAGACGGCGGTGGCGATGGTAGCAGTGAAAACGACGACGCTGATGGCGGCACCATACTCTAACTTCAGCAACAAACTATCACATCTTGTCATATGGAATAGAGTTCAAGCGGGCAGGCTGTATTCGTTTCTCTCTAACGCCAGCCCGCCCGCTAACCCGCCGCAGACAAGAAGCAATCACAAAAATTAATAGCAAAATAAAGCCTGAAACGAACACCAATCATTATAAAGTGTGCAGTCAAACGGTTGC